GACTGAACGATATTTACGCTTGCTAAACGGCCATTCGTCGTTTCGGGTTGTGTGATGGGTATTCGATTCGGTATGGGAATGGCTACGAAAGGCATTTCGTTCAGTTTCGTTTTGTTCTTTTTTTTTTTTTTTTTTTTTTTTTTTCTTTCGATCGTTTCGAGCGTTTGAAACGTCAAGAGTGACAAACGATATCGGCAGCTGCTGCTTCTTCGAGAAACGCATTGTCGAGGGAATGATCTTGATCTCGAGTGCCCTTCTAGTTGCTTCGCCGTTCTCGCGCGGCATTCTAAACGATTTCTCGTTACAACTGTAACCATTTTATTCGAGGCAAATTTATTCTATTTATCATAACTGTAAGTTTCAAATGACTTGCTGTTGCAGTCTTGGAAGATTTATTACGTACGAGAATTCGTAATATTATGTTCGCGATATATGTAGAGCATGGTGATCATATTGTCAAAATGATATTTGTAATATTTTACATACATTGTCTATGCATATACAGTGTAGTTTATATAAGTTATCTATGTACTACTATAATTCATTACATTACAGAAATTTCAATAGAATGGTTAAAAGTAGATTGCGGATACAATTTTATACTTTTACATTTATATTTTATATGTTTTCTGAAGATAATTACAAAAATAGGTAGGAAATTATTTTATCTTAAACGTTAATTAAAAAAAATAGAGCTTAGGTAGAAAATTATTTTACCTACCGATTATTATAAGAAATGTTATACTTTAAATATTTTATATATTTCTCCGTTATTTGTATTCTTTATATTTGCTATAAATGCATAAAAGTCCGCAGTCTACTTATATATGTCTTTACTTCCAAATATATGCAGTCTATGGCTAGAAAAGTTCTAGAAGTTATATTGCATTTTGCTCAACACATTATATTTCATTATATACAATCAAACTGTTAACAATTGTTAATTCTTACTACGTAAATCATATTTTGTATTATTGTAGTATCAAAGTGGTTGCTAATAGCTAACTAGCTGACGTTGAATAAATAAATTATTGATTAATGTCAAATTAATTCAGGTTATAGTTTAACATATTTTTGTATGGTTTGACGATTGTATCACTTTGTTCGATTATATTCACGTCACATATTTATTTGAAAATTCATTTTGTTTCAACACCGATCTCATTCATTATCGTAATTTGTGTTAACTGAAATAAAGAAAAATCGAGTTTACAACGCAGATATATGTTTGCACGCAATGGTCTCGTAAATAATGCGAATTAAGTGGATCGCGCGTTGGTCCAGAACGAAAAGCTGTGACTTTCAGATGTTTTTCTCTCTCTCTCTCTCTCTCTCTTCTCTCCCGCTCTCGCTCTCTCGTTCTTTCCGTATGATTTTCGATCAAACGTTTTCTCTTTTCAGACTGACCCAATTCCAGATTGCTAAACACTTTCGTAAAGGAAGTAGGTTATCCTTCAATATATGGATATTCAACGTCCTGATATTCGTGTTTTTCGTTTCCGATATTCGTGATTTCTGCGAAAATTATACGTACGATCAATTCTATTCGACTTGGTATTATACTAACTATATGTAAAAATTTATTTATTATACATATTATAAAAATAAACTAATGATTGAAGAAGAATCACAATTTGTGATTATTCAATTCAGAAGGTGGATGTCAGTTCGTGTACTTAGAATATAAATAATAAATTCATGCATGAATGGATAAGTCAGTAAGAACTATCGCACGAAGCAACTTATTGTCTGTTGAATAAATCAAACGAAGAGTTGGAGAAAAAGTAACGAAGATTATTATAGCTTTTATATTTTGTTTGTGACAAATGGAACTAAATCATGATGATTATGATGTTCAAAATGTCTTTAGGAAGTAGACATTTTGTCGAAACGAAATAGACAAAGTAGATACATTCGAAATATTGTATCACTGTTAACAGTTTATTTTCTCAATAAAACTACTTTTTTATTCTTTAAATATTCTACTTAAATACACTACTATTAATTTCAGAGGGATAAGTTATATCTCTTTTACAAAAAATTTAACATAATATACAATTAATATATGATTAATGTAATATTAATATATTGATTCTTGTTGAGCAAATTATGCTTCTTTTACAAGAAATTTAATAGAAATTTCAAGATGATTAATTGTACTGATAATATAATTAATATACGATTAATATAATTTTAATATATGATAATTTATATATTATATAGAATCAAACGATTGCTTCACATGTTACGCATTTATGTCTCATTAATTCATTTGAATTTGTCAGACATTTTCTATGGGGAATAAAAGGTGCTCTAACTACTCTGAACATATGTGACAGGACATTAAGAAAGCTCGTGCAAGAATTATACCGGACCCG